ACAGTCAAACTGTTATAATACCCCAAATGGAAGCATAGGCTCATTAAATCCGTCTCTCAAAATTCTACTGTGAATATTGAAAAGAACAGGCCTCCTATATAGCACTATAACTTCATGAAATAGTGCCAAAGACATACAATGGGGGTGTCATTTTACTCAGCAGATGTAACTAAACACAAAATAAAACTTCGTACAGGAATAGTGTTTTTTCTAGGAATAGCACACACCAACTTTACAAAATACACATGAGAATTTCTTTGTTATAAATTTGTGTGCCAAAACCCCCACAATTTTACTCCAATATTTACCAGAGGTTGGCGGTGAAATGGCTACGTAGAAAGTGTCAAAACAACCTTAGGTAAATAGCCTGTGATGTCTACTTTATATAAATATATACTTTTGCGTGGCAATTTTGTTTTCTTGTATGGCTATTAAGCTTACAACACAAACATACCAAATTCTAAAATCGCTCCACATTAAAAGTTTATTTTACTCCTTCTGCTTTGTGACCTGTAACTACCAAAAACAACTTAAAATCCCAGACACATTATATATTCTGTAAATCAGAACAACTAAATGAATTTATTTTTAATTACTTTCCTTAACCTGCACTAATTATGCACACATTATTATTGCAAAAACTGTAAACAAAAAACACAAACATTTTCAATTTTTTTGTATTTTTTAAAAATAAATAAGCATTTATATATATATATATATATATATATATATCTTACATCAAATTAAAGCCCTTTCTGTCCTTTAAAAAACGGTATATAATATGTGTCGGTGCAATAAATTAGTAAAATGCAAATTGCAGTTGAACGCAAACAGCAAATAATTAAAAAAATGCTGTTGTCATTAAGTGAAAGACAAGCTTCTGAAGCTCTGTCCTTAAGGGGTTAAGGCAGACCATAAAAACAATCAATATATTATGTTGTGAATAATTAGGTGTGATTAGTGCAAAATTAGTGCAAAGGTGAACCCTGTACCAAATATGAACAGGGTTATTTTTGCAAGCTAGCCAACATTGGCAGGATGTGTTGATGAACGGACGGATGTAGCATCGTTTTCTACACTAAAACTCAAAATACTAATAATTATTAGTTAGTTAATAGGTAGATAGAAGAATGTTAGAGAGCTGAGTGGATACGGAATATTTTAGTGCTTTATAAAAATATTAATTGGTGTGAAAGACGGAAAGATTGTTAATGAATGAGTGAGTGAATGAATGAATGGTAAGTTTATCAATGTAGAGTGATTAACTATTTGATTGGTGAGTAGGTTAATATGTGAGTAGGTAGATATTACCTACATATATATTTTAAATAGGAAAGGAAAAATGGACACTAGAAGAGTCAGTAAGAAAGAGAGAGAAATTATTCAGGAATGATTATGCCATCCATGTAAAGGAGGGGAGTAGCATCCATCATAAAAACACATCAATAGAGTGCACTACCCAAATGTTGGTGTGCAGTATAGTGGTTAGATAACATTGAGATAGGCAAGTTCTAAATAAGATTTCCATTCTGACAAAGGCAAAGAGCAAGACCCAGAACGTCAAGACTTTGAGAAACATAATATACTGAAATCCTTTTCTATGAATTGAATATCTATGAAGCCGCTTGTGATTGGAGGCAAGAGGTTACCAAATGTAGTCCTGTAAAGTACAAGGTGTTCACCTGAAAATATAGACATTTACATTTATTTAAGAAAAACTACCTGTCTCACTGTGTGAAAAGTGAAGCTTGTGTCAAATAAATCTCTTTATACAGCAAGCTTAAAAGAGGAGAAGAAAGAACCCCCCAGAGAACAATTACTGCCAGAGCAGTGACAACTGGAGAATCTTAAATACACATCATTACTGTGAAAGTAGTTGTCATGATGAGCTAGTATATCCAGTTACTTGAATAAGACATCTTTTGCGGAACCTGCAAGTCACTGTGTCATACTGGTCAAGTTGGCAATCTGTCAGATAGGAACATAATACATTTTATTGTTTAAGAAAGGATACTGTAACATAAAAGAATGTAAGCAAATAGTTCATTAAAACACACAACGCTGCAGTTCTGATTCACAAATAGTTAATAGAAGTTCTAACTGACATTATAAGAGCAGGGTCAAACATCCCTTCAAGCAGTGAAGGTATTTACTAGGTCTCCTTAGAGCTGTTATGCTCAATGAATTGCTAATCTATGCATTTCAATGCATCTATAGAGCTGAATCTGCATTCTAAAGTATGATAAATTGTAATGTTCTTCAAGGTTTTTGATTTTTTTCCCCTTGAATTACAATGGAGGATATTCTTAATGACACATTGTACAAATATTTACAAATTGCAAAGCCAGCCCTTGGTATGAAATAATCAATTTGGGAAGTCTCACCAGTATAAGGAAAGTTGTGAATAATAGTTATTACTCTTTGCATGTAACATTTACAGGTAAAACCTGCTTACAAGTGATCGGTTAGTTGCTAAGATGTGAAACATATCTTTAATTTTCCACCTTTTTTTTTTTTTTTTACAAATTTGTGTTTCTTTGATCTGAAAAAGAAAATAAATGTAGAAATCCACATTGAGGAACACAACACAGCCAGGGCTCGACTGGGAAATGAATTTGGCTCGGGCATTTTTTTAATTGCAGTGTGAGTGCCTGTGTGTGTGTGTGTGTGTGTGAGGGGTGCTGTGTGTGACAGAGGGTGCTGTGTATGTGTGTGTGAGGGTGCTGTGTGTGTGCTGTGTGTGACTATGTTTGGAAGTTATGTGTGTGTAGAGGGGTGATGGATTAATGTTAATCCATATATATATATTTTTTTTAATTTAAAAAAAAGTAGTATCCCCCCCCCTTCTTACCTTTTGCCTGGGAAGGGTGACCTTGCTGCCACCACTGGTGGTCATAGTGGTAAGTGAACTCTAGCCTGCGTGGTTAGAGTTCATTCTTGCAAGATTGGAGCATTGCCATGGAGGAGAGGAACCCGGCATAGCAGCTGGCTACAGCTCCCCCGGGTTGTCCTCTCCCCCCCGGCGACCGCATATCAGTGCCTGTGGGCTGATCAGGGAGATATTTCATCTCCCCACCGGCCCATGAAGGCACACAGCAGGGCTGGCGCTCGGATAGTGCCGGTTCTGCATGGGCCGACATGGGAGATCCTGTGATCTCCCCTGCCGGCATCGGCCCATGGTCATCACGGACCACTGAGCATTTGCCTGGTATGCCCAATGGCCAGTCTGGGCCTGAACATGGCCATATTGGCTACCTGTCAATTATTGTTAGAAGCACTGCCATTGGACTGGTCAGTTCAGTCAATATAAAGAGATCATAGAGAGACAAGGAGATACTGTTACGACACGTACCGTCGGGTAGATGAAGCCGCCGTTTAGGCAATAATCCCCTTCTCCAGAAATGCAGTTTAAATCCAGCCGATCGCCAAACTCCCGAACGAAGTCCACGAACACGGCAACTCCCGATCAGCCAAACAGTCGAACGCCTTCCACAGCTAGAAATAACGAAAGCGCTGTCCCAGTAATAATTCCCCCACAAACGAGACCAAGCTCCGTCTTGAGGGTCAAATGAAGTTCTGTTTAATGGGGGCTACCTGCCCGGTATTTATGCAGGTCTCCACAAGGTGGACACTCCCCGAGGGGACCTTGTGGAAGACTGTAAAACATATTGTACAGTAGCCAATCGCAGTGGCCTCAATAATAGCCCTTCCCATCTTACCCACAAATCCGTCTTCTCTACTCTGGAGATAATTAGGAAGAAACCTAATTATCTCCCAAGGTAGAGACAATCGCCATTTTAGTTTACAGTAACAAAATATATTAAAATACATAACGACAGAAATACCGAATGCATATGGTTCGTGTAACGTATCCCCAGACAGCCTGGATCTGAGGGCATGTTTTCACCGAACAGCGCTCAGATCCGATGTATCTAGTCGAATCGCCATGGAGTCAAAGTCTTGCACCAGTCCTTCGGTATACGAATGACTCCATGGGAGGGCTGTCGGGGTAAAAGTCCATACGAATGAATAAAACTCCCGAACGACCGACGTTCGCATGCCTTGTCGAAAAGGAAGGTAGGCAGCAGCTTTTCAGCGGTGTTCGGTAGTTTAAGTGTCCGTTTTTAGTTCCATACAGTTTGTACCGAACACCGCTCTGTGTTCGTATGTCCCAAAATGGCCGCTGCCTCGTGGTCGACATGCGAACGACGACCACCCATACGAATGGAATGGAGAGGTGTCTGCGGTTAACCACAACGTTCTAATTGGGGCCAAGAGGTTAACCAGCAGCACACTCCTCTCCTGGGTGGTCGTTCGTTCGGTAGTTTCAATCGGCATTTTGCAAATTGCACGAACGGGGTTATATGAACAGGCAATTCCGCGAACAAAGGGAAACAGATGAACCAACAATGCAGATGAATCTGTCACACGGCTCCCCCCCTGTGGGACACTCCGGCAGACCCGGCTTGACCCTTTAGCGGGTCAACGTGGGGATGACCGGACTAAGATGGGGTGAGGATGTCGGTTTGCCTGGACAATCCATCTGCATTCCCATTCTGCTTACCGGGTCGATAAGTGATGGTGAAGTTATATGGCTGTAGGGCTAAACTCCACCTCAGCAGTCTGCCATTGTCTCCAGAGACCCGGTTAAGCCAGACAAGGGGATTGTGGTCCGTCACAAGGGAAAATTCCTGTCCATATAAATACGGGCTTAGCTTCTTCAATGCCCACACCAGGGCCAAACATTCCTTCTCCACTGCCGCATAACTCACTTCTCTGGGTAACAACTTTCTGCTGAGATATGCGACAGGGTGCTCTCCTCCATCTTCCCCGACCTGGCTCAGCACAGCCCCCAGTCCATACATGGAAGCATCTGGGTCTCAGCAGCAGGTGGGCTGGTTCCAGCAGCACGGGTCTGGGCACGGGTAGTCACTGGGTTGATAGCGGCAGGTCCCATTGGAGCATAAGCGGACACCAAAGGGGCCAAGTCATTCCCAAGTAAAACATCGGCCGGTAAGTCTTTCATGACCCCCACATTCACGTGTCCAGAGCCCACCCCCCAATCCAAGTGAACCCGGGCAACCGGTAAACGGAACACTGCACCTCCCGCCACCCTCACTGCCACAGTATCTCCAGTGTGTTGGTGTTCGGACACAAGGTTCTTTTGGAGCAAGGTCATAGTGGCTCCGGTGTCTCTCAGTCCAGTTACCGCTTTGCCATTTAGTTTAACGGTCTGCCTGTGCTGTTGACGGTTATCCTGCTGCGCTGCTTGGACCGGATCCGCCTCATGTAATATACCCCAAAATTCCTCCTGCTCCAGACAGTGAGCGGAAGGTTGGGGTGGCTGCTGATTTCCGCCGGCTGGTCTTCTCCACGACTGTGCTTGGCTCGAATTGTTTAATGGGCACTCGGGTCGCTTGTGCCCCAACTGCTTACACCCATAGCAACGGATCGGCTGTGAGTAATCCCGGGCGTTGAACCGGGCTGGCTGAACGTAATTGTTCGCTGTTGGCATGGTGGGGGTGCGTTGTGCTGGGTGTTGATACCCTGCAGAGGTTGGAGGGGCTGCTGGTTTGTACTCCACTCGGGTAGGGACCTTGGCTGCTGTCTGGTCCAGTTTCCTGGCGTCAGTGTACTCATCAGCCAGACGAGCAGCTTCGGGTAAGGTAGCGGGTTTGCGGTCCCTAACCCACTCTCTGACTCCTACGGGTAAGCGGTCAAAACAGTGCTCCAACAAAAACACTTGCAGCACCTCTTCCCCAGTTACCGCTTGGCACCCTGCCATCCAGTGGGCTGCGGTGCGGTGTACTCGGCATGCCCACTCAACATAAGAATCACCAGCCTGCTTGTTAGTGTCCCGGAATCGCCGCCGGTATGCCTCCGGGGTCACAGCATATCTGGCCAAAAGGGCATCTTTCACTGCCCTGTAGCTGGTAAGTTCCTCCTCTGGGATGGCCCGAAACGCCTCACTGGCCCGGCCGGATAACTTCCCAGAGAGGATGGGGACCCATTCTCCTGCGGGTACCTGGTGTAAGGCACATTGCCTTTCAAAATCCGCCAGGAACCCATCGATTTCTCCTTCGGCTTCTACAAAGTTCCGAAATGCAGCAAAAGGTACTTTTCTCCTTCCATTATTATTATTGTAAGGTACCTCAGCTGCTGCAGCGCCTCTTCCTTGAAGCGCCTGTTGTGCTGCTACTGCTGCTTGCACTTGCACCACAATATCTGCTGCGGGGTTGGGGCCAAAATGTGCCAGCCTGATCTGAACTGCCCGGTTAAACTGTATCTCCTCGGGTGTTAACTCCAGTATGCCAGGCACATTCGCTCCCCCCGCTCCCTGTGCTGCATCCATTTCCAATAGTATGGCAATAATCTCTCTTTTCTTGAGATTACTCGCTGATCGTCCTCTGCGCTCCAATATATCTTTAAGGGTAGCACGCCTTAACTCCTCATACTGCATTTCCAACCTGGGATGTGTAGCTGGCCTTCTGGGCTGTAGGATTCATCCCGTCGCTTGCCACCAATTGTTACGACACGTACCGTCGGGTAGATGAAGCCGCCGTTTAGAAATGCAGTTTAAATCCAGCCGATCGCCAAACTCCCGAACGAAGTCCACGAACACGGCAACTCCCGATCAGCCAAACAGTCGAACGCCTTCCACAGCTAGAAATAACGAAAGCGCTGTCCCAGTAATAATTCCCCCACAAACGAGACCAAGCTCCGTCTTGAGGGTCAAATGAAGTTCTGTTTAATGGGGGCTACCTGCCCGGTATTTATGCAGGTCTCCACAAGGTGGACACTCCCCGAGGGGACCTTGTGGAAGACTGTAAAACATATTGTACAGTAGCCAATCGCAGTGGCCTCAATAATAGCCCTTCCCATCTTACCCACAAATCCGTCTTCTCTACTCTGGAGATAATTAGGAAGAAACCTAATTATCTCCCAAGGTAGAGACAATCGCCATTTTAGTTTACAGTAACAAAATATATTAAAATACATAACGACAGAAATACCGAATGCATATGGTTCGTGTAACGTATCCCCAGACAGCCTGGATCTGAGGGCATGTTTTCACCGAACAGCGCTCAGATCCGATGTATCTAGTCGAATCGCCATGGAGTCAAAGTCTTGCACCAGTCCTTCGGTATACGAATGACTCCATGGGAGGGCTGTCGGGGTAAAAGTCCATACGAATGAATAAAACTCCCGAACGACCGACGTTCGCATGCCTTGTCGAAAAGGAAGGTAGGCAGCAGCTTTTCAGCGGTGTTCGGTAGTTTAAGTGTCCGTTTTTAGTTCCATACAGTTTGTACCGAACACCGCTCTGTGTTCGTATGTCCCAAAATGGCCGCTGCCTCGTGGTCGACATGCGAACGACGACCACCCGTACGAATGGAATGGAGAGGTGTCTGCGGTTAACCACAACGTTCTAATTGGGGCCAAGAGGTTAACCAGCAGCACACTCCTCTCCTGGGTGGTCGTTCGTTCGGTAGTTTCAATCGGCATTTTGCAAATTGCACGAACGGGGTTATATGAACAGGCAATTCCGCGAACAAAGGGAAACAGACGAACCAACAATGCAGATGAATCTGTCACAGATACATATGCAATGTTTCTGCTTCTCCTTCTCCAATACAATTTGTGTCCTGGCTGTAACAGGACTGAGCTGGACTGAGATGTAATTTGCTAATTATGCATCTTAAAGCTGTCATAACATCAAATAAAACAAGGTTAAATGTGTCATAGCTGATTTTCAAAGCTTTTATTCAACCAGCGGTTTCCCTGTAAGAATAATGTAGAATAAAGTAGACCCCCTTTATAAATATGGGAGACATTGGGGGAGGTTTATTAATGTGTTCAGTTCTAAAAATAATGATGCAAAAATTTAATAGTGGAGGAGTCACCATTGGAAGTTACCTGCAGGTTCAATTGGTGTTGCGGTTGCCCCCCTTTTAGTACCTTAGACCACTTTTCGAAAAGAACATTTTGAAACATCTCGCCCTTGTGTTGGGAATCTATCATGTTGAAGTTGATCATTTTACCCATACAAAACAATGGATACTGTTACACCACAACTCCTGTTATCCACAACGATCTATGTATAACACAGGCACCCACATACCTGGAATTTACAAAAAACAAATCCAGAGTATGGAGTATCAAAGTAGGATATCGCTATACTGCAAGGATCAGTTCTTTACCAGCAAAACGTATGGGGAAGAATGTTAAATGCCCAACTCACGGTTACCTATACATTTGAAATTGCATTAATTAATTTCTAAAAAGTACAGATTAAAGGGAAAAATATATACACATACAGATTGATTTTACTAATAGAAATCACATTATGTAACTGACTGTTTAATTATTATTAATTAATAGAATCCATATTCTGTGTCAACATCTTTTATACAACAGCAGTGTTTACCATGGATAGAAATGTGAGAATTGGAAAAGGTAACCAGCTAGAGCTATTTATCATTTGAAATGTTTCTCACACAGGCCATTATCCACACAGCCTGTGGAAGTATATTATGCATAATGCATTGTGCCTGGGTAGATCGGAATTGTTTACATGATTTACAGCAAATATCTACAGAGAGTGGACAACGAAGGTGAGAAAAATACATGAAATCAATCTAAGAATAAGGATTTCAGAAGCAAAACAAGATGAGAGAGAATAAAATTGTATACCATATAAATTACATCTCTTTCCTGGAAGTTGGTTTACAGCAATATTGCTAGATGGCACATTACTCTACTAAATCAATGTTTCAATATACAATTCAGTGGATATAAAGCGGTTATGAGCCTCATGAGTGACAAAGAAGCTACTTAGTCATTCAAGACTGATTTACAGTATTGTCTTCAGGCTCCAAGTGACTTGGTTATCCAGAAAGATAACCCAACTTGCCCCATTCAAACTATAAAAAATACAAAACAAAATTGCAACCCGAACCAGTGAAGATCAGTCATAAACATAATGTAAGTAACTGGGTAAGCTATTGAATATTTTGATTAAAACCTTCTTGCAACAAAGCACAACAATCAGATTTCAAACAATGAAAAGATGTATACAAAGCCAGATGAGATACGAGGACCAGAGAGATAACTCAGAACACAAAAGGCAACAAAATGAAGCAGGTGCTGTTCTTAATATACAGAATTCATGATAAAGGAACACTCCAAGCACTGCAACCTCTACAATGCACTGGAATGGTTATGGAGCCAGGAGTGATCTAATATACCCCCAATGTAAGTATTCAAACCATTTAGTAATGGTTTAACTTCCTACCAAGGGTTTCCCAGGTGCTGTTATCTACCTCCTCCCAGCTGGCAACTCTTTTTAATCCCTGCACCATTGGGCTTAACTCTCCTAACTCATTTGTCTCACTTCTTGCTAAGAGGAGGCAGCAATCTCTGGGAAGACCATTACCAAACAGACTACGCACATTAGAGGGGGTGGGATGCTGGGATGCCTGGGCACTTCTGTCCCCTTAACTGCTACAGAACATTATAGTGGTTTGTTACGGTACCTCCAGTAATGAAATATACAAACCGCCGTTTAGTAAGTATTCCCCGTTCGCAATAATGTAGGCTGGTAGCGGGTATAGTAAAACCATGCGAACCGCCAGCTGGGGAACACTCCAAACTCCCGAACGGTACCTGTACGGCTATTTCCCTCCACGAGCTCCAAATCCACGAACTGCCAATATTAGCCGAACGCTAATACCTTCCAAGCGGCAAATATTTCCAATCAGCAGTCTCTAAGCGTCGGTAACCAAATCCCCCCAATAACGAGACCAAGCTCCGCTTTGAGGGTAAAACACGAACTGGTTTACTGTGGGCTACCTGCCCGGTATTTATGCAGGTCTCCCACTTGGTGGACACTCCCCTAGGGGACCAAATGGGAGACTGAAATCACAGAGGGACATGGGGACATTCTGGACATACATCCCCACAATATTCCCAGCATGCAGTACAGTTCCCTCCCCTCTGCTCGGGGAATAATTGGGAAGTAATTCAATTATCTCCCCGAGCAGAGGCAATCGCCATTTTAGATACAAGTTACAAAAACACACAAAAATCCATAACTTAATAACTGCTGAACATTTTACATCAGTCTTGCATATCCCCAGATAGCCTGGATCTGAGGGCACATTATTGGAGAATAGCGCTCAGATCCCATTCGCACAGTTCAATCGCCATGGAGTCAAAGTCTCTTTC